TATCATCCCAGACTGCAGCCACTACACCTACAACAATCTAGAGAAGACTCGCTAGTGCACAACGTACGCAAATCAAACAAGAAGGAAACAAGTGGTAACTAGTATCCTAGTTGAAAGGTTTAACTATTGCGAAGTAAAGTAACAGTAATTTAGCTAACACCAAAAGGGAAACAGTAAAACAGGAGGTACCAACTCCTGATAACAAAACTTGTGGCTGATTTGTTGTACTCGATGCAGTTGTGCGCTCACGCACCACTTCCTACCGCCATTTGCTGACACTCGCCCAGGTTGCTCTCCTTTGCCAGTGCTCGTGGGCCCAACTTGTCTCCAATACTCCGAGAATTTCTGAAATCACAGAAAATACCACGACCCAAAAACCAGAAGGAGCTATCACCGCTACCACTGGTATAGCCCCAACAATATAAAATGTACCAAGAAAGGAGAAGAAGAAAAAAATTGAAGAAAATGATGACGCGAAGCAAGACAGAACAAGTGCCCTTCTCAGCTGAAAATTCAACTATATAGAGTCTTGATAGACCAAATCAAACCCTACAAACAAGCAATAATACCACAAGTGCAGAGTGGAATTGAAAATTAGTCAATACAATCAATTGCCACAAAATGCACAGAGGCACACAATGCTGGCAACAAAAGTTTAGGATTTATGTAAAATCATTAATGTTTAAGCTTACTGATTTAGATCTTGGCATAAATGGGGAATGTAATAGCTCAAATATAGAAATGCGGAGTGAAATAACTTAATTAAAAGCAGTAAAATTTTCTGAAAATTACGACTTTTGAATAGTAAATTAGCAGTTTCTAATTTTTTTTTTCTTCTTTTTTTTTTGAGAAAAATCTTCAATCAGTTCAAAAGCTGAAAACTCTTATTGTTGAGGTTCATGCAGTAAGAAGCCGATAAAAACAGCAGAAATTAACCGAGCAAATACCACTTTATACAGATCCTGCCGGAAAACTCACCTTAAAACAGGTAAGTCGTCGGAAAGACACGAACTTCGCCGGATAGCACTACTTAACGGCACAAGGACGGCAGTAGAACCCTAATTTGATGCTCGCAAACACAAATCTCGGAAAGATGTTTGTGGTATTTCCACATTTTCTTTTAAACTTTAGTTTCACCTTCTTAAATAAGAGGACGACAGAGTACAATTTCTTCATACAACTGTCACTTGTAGCACATATTAATGGTTAGATTGTGCTTTTAGTTGATGTTGGGTTTGTTGAGAGGGCGGGGTTGGATTTGGGTTACTTGTGATTTTCTAGAAATTTACTTCTTCTTTTAGTGTTCTTGACTGTTATATTGTAATTTTGATGAATGTTGGATTTTGTGTTACTTTTTCTTTTACTGGTGCTTTTTTTTAATTAGTATTAGAGTACGCGCGCTGCGTGTTTCTTGTTTTAATGAATATAATTTTCTTTATCAAAATAATATAAATATTATATTTAAAAAATGTGTTTGAGCTAGTTACCAAATAAAATTATAAAATTCTGAAAATTATGAGTATTAATCATATACACAGATAACTCAATAATTGAAGAAACTGTAACATAGTCCTCAATCATCACTTATTTTATTCAACTTAATTCTTTTATTTACCAAATTCATATATCATTATGAATAATACATCTTTAAATTGTAAAAACCTTATTATGATAAAATCGGTTAAACTAATAATTAGTTGCGTTGTTTTCAATCTATTTATACTCGCATGATTTATATAAGTAATTCTCAAAATTATGTGAAATAAGACAAGGATTTATATAATTAAATTCTTACTCAATTCAGTGTAGGGAATGAA